TGAAAAGCAGTATGGAGACTCCTTGGAAAATTGGGAATGGAACCACCATTTGACCCAGCCATCCCACTCCTTGGTCTATACCCAAAGGACTTAAAAACTACATATTACAGGAAATAGACATCAATGTTCATAGCAGCACAATTCACAATAACTAAGTTTTGGAACCAATCTAGATGCCCTTCAATAAATGAATGGATAAAGAAAATGTGGTATATATAGATAATGGAATATTACTCAATAATAAAAGAGAATAGAATCATGGCATTTGCAGGAAAATGGATGGAGCTGGAGAATATAATGCTAGGTGAAGTAAACAAATCTAAAAAAATGCTGAATGTTTTCTCTGATATAAGGAGACTGATTAATTGTGGGGTTGGGAGGGAAAACATGGGTGGATTAGACAAATTCCAGATAGGGCAAAGGGGAAGGGATATAAATAAGGGAAGGCATATGGCAGTATAAAAAGATGGTGAAATGAGATGAACATCATTACCCTAAGTATGTGTATAAAGACAGGAATGCTGTAAATATATTTTGTATACAATCGGAGATACAAAAAATTGTGCTTTATATGTGAAATATGAATTATAATGCATTTTTGTCATATATAACAACTTAGAATTTTTTAAAAAAGAAATACTACACACAAAAGAACTTGCAAACAAACTACAAAGCTCTGCAATTGATTACACTCACTAGAGGAGCAGTTACTAATTTTTAAATTTAAATACATGAAACAAATCAAAATGGCAGAAAATAATTATGATCTCTTCATAAGAACTCTGAATAAAAAGAGCTCAACTTCAGCTAGATGTAGACTAACAGAATGTATTTAAAAACAAGACGCAGGTAATATGCTGTTTGCAAGATTCATAAACAAAGGTAGCCATAAGCTGATAGAGGAAGAAAGAAAATTATATTCTATGCTAATGAAGTTAAAAAAGTAGTTGTCACTATACTCATGTGTAACAAAGAGATTTCAAGCAAAAGTTAATCAGATGAGACAAAGAAGGTTAGTACACACTTGTAAAGGGAACAATCCAATAAGAAGAGATAATCATAGCAATATTTATGGCTAAAAGTAAATGTCAGTGCACCTAATTACTGTGAAATAAATTCTTCTTGACATTAAGTCTAAGATAGACCTGAATGCAATAATACTGGTGATTTCAACATATGCTTCTCATAAGATATAAAATCAACAGACATGTTATAGCTTGGGGATGAAGTGCCCTGCCAAAACTCTTGTGTTAATGTTCTGAGGTGAAATGATTTAATTATGAGAGCTGTAACCTTATCATAGGATTTATTCATTTGATGGACTAATAAATTTTTATTTTGGGGGTACTGGGGATTGAACTCAGGAGCACTTGACCATTGAGCCATATCCTCAGCCCTAGTTTGTATTTTATTCAGAAGCAGTGTCTCACTGAGTTGCTTAGTACATTGCTTTTGCTTTTGCAGGCTTTGAAATCATGATCCTCTTGCCTCAGCCTCCCATGCAGCTGTGATTATAGGCATGTGCCACCCCCTCATATGGGTAATAATTTGAATGGACTAACTGGGTGTTACTATTAGGTAGATGGGATGTGGCTGGAGGAAGTAAATCTCTGAGGGTGTGACCTTGGAAACTATATCTGGTTTCCCTGGCCCCTCTTTGTCTCTCTGTGTTTCCTGATTACCACAATGTGAACAATATTCTGTCATAATGTTCTTTCTGCCTTATCTTGGGCCCAGAGCAATGGAGACAGCTGACCATGGACTGAACCTCTGAAACTGTGAGACTAAGTAAACTTTTATTTCTCTAAATTTTTCTAGTCAGGTATTTTGCTTACAGCAACAAAAACAACAAACACAACCCTTCTGATCTAAAAAATACCATAAATTGAATACACCCAGAAAATCATAGGCTATTTTATCCAATAACAAGCAAATTCACCTTCTCTCAATAGCTCACTGAACATTCTCCAAAATAGACCATATTTTAAGTTACAGGTGTTTGAAAATACAAAATAATCAATATAATCCCTTTTATCAGATCATAATGGAATTCAATTAGAAATAAACATGAAATTACATAAGCACATGGGGAATAAATAATTCTCTTTTGAAAAGAAAAGGGTCTTAGATTAAATGATAAGAGAAAGTTTATAAATTTCTAGAATCAAACGAGAATAGTAATACAACATTAAAAATTCTGGGACATTATGTAGAGTTGTTGCTAAGAGGAATTTTATAGAAGTAGATGCCTGCATTAAAAAAAGAGAAACAAGTCCCAAATAAATTATCTAATGTTATATCTCAATGTGCCATAAAATCAGGAAAAAAAAAACTAACTCCAAAATGAGAAAAAATGTTTAGAGACAAATAAATGAAATAGTATGGGGTTGAGTGGGGGGAAGGATCAATGTAACAAATACTTCATTCCTTAAAAAGTTCAAAGATTGATAAACCCTTAGGCAAACTATCCAAAAGAAAGAGTTTAGAGACCAAATCAATAAAACTAGAGATGAGAAAGGCCATATCACCACAAAATTTTTTGAAATCAAGTGGATCATTAGGGACTACTTTAAAAGCTTATATTCCAATAAATTTTTCAATCTAGAAGATAATGACAATTTCTAGACATCTATGACTTACTCATACTGAGAAAAGACAATATAGAAAACCTGAACAGAACAATATCAGGGAATGAGATTGAAGACATAAAGGAAGCTTTCAACAAAGACAACTAATGTCAGTCATCATCAAATTATATCATAAAATAGAAAGTGAGGGAACACTTCCAAATTAATTCCTTGAAACCAGTATCAGTATTATCCTGATGCCAAAACCATGAGGAAAAAAAATACAGACCAACATCTCTGATGAATATAGACACAAAAATCCTTACTAAAAATATTAGAAAAAATTAATTTGAAAACACACTAAGGGTATTGTACACTGTGATCATGTTGAATTAATCCTGAGATACAAATTAGTTTCAGCATATACAAATCAATAAATGTAATTCTCTCACTAAGTTGCCCAAGGTGGCCTTGAACTTGCAGTGCTCCTGCCTTAGTCTCCTGAGTCACTGGGATTGCCAGGTGGGCACCACTGCACCAGAATAGGTCATTGTACTCTTAAAAATCAGGAAACACATGGAAAACTCTTCTCCTTAGTGCCCTGCACCCTTACTTACTAGGATTAAGGTGAAAAAGGACTCCATACCAGGGATCAAACAAGAGAGACTCACTGTTGCAAAGAAACAATTTACCTAATTTCCAATGTCTACCCCTATCTATGATCATTCCTTTATCCTCTTAAATTGAATGATTAGCTCAGATTTCAAATTACCTTTTTCTGCCTAGAATTAAGCAGTTCAAAAATTAACTTTTACTGGAATATGTGTGTATCTGCTATATATTCTTTTGTGGCCTCAGTAAAAATTATAGCAATAAAGATCCCATGGTAATTTATGGTAATTTAAGATCACTGCCTTAAAAACAATTGTTCTATTATTCCATTCTATAATTATCATTGAATATTTACCGTCTTGAGCCAATATAATTATCATGTAGGAGTCTCCTTCAAAATTTTAGGGTATGTTCCTTAGGCTCTAAATGTTATTAGATGTCTCTTCTCCTTTCACTTCAGATTTTCAAACGCTGTATCCTTTTATGGCCTCATCCTCAACCTGCAGCATCTGGGGAGCAATATCTTCCTGTTCCAGGTTCTCTTTGGAGCCATCATGCTCACAGCCAGCTTTGTTTCCCTTTGGACTCTGAATTACATGGGTCGTCGGACAAACCAGATATTGTTCTCTTTCCTGGCCGGAGTCTCCATTCTGGTCAACACATTTTTGCCCCAAGGTGAGAGAGACAAAGGTTTGGGGAAAGAAAGTGTTTCCCTCATTCCTTAGGAATTAAATTATCTTACTTGCCTGATGCACAAGAATATCATTAAAAGCCAAGGATTCTTTGTAGTTAATATGAAGATTTGAAATGGATTATGGCAAGCTCTTGGAGGGACTTAGGCTCCAACTGTGCCTATGTCCTTAAGGTATGTTTCAGACACAAAGCTGCCCTGACCACATCCAAGATGAACCTGAACAGCAGTTCCAATGGTACAAAACAGTGTCTTTGGAAGAGGAGCTAACAACATGCCTCTGGCTAATGACAATTTTCATAACAATCCTGGAGGATGTAGGCCTTGCAACTGCATCTCCAAGTGGGCATGTGATACTCTTCCTGAGACTCTTCCTGATTTTTAAGGCCTCCCTAACTCGATATATTATTAGCAGAGGTTTCTTGTATTCAGTGAAATAAAAATCCTTTGTCTTCAGACAGAAAGCAAGACCACAGCAGGAGTAAGGGAATCATTTAATCTTAATATGTCTTCTAATCTGTTTTGTAATTTGTCCTTAGAGAAGAAATGAATAATGACTTCTACTTTTACATGTAATTATAATACACCAATTAAAAACAATAAATAAATGAAAGGAAGATCAGTAGAATAGAGGATCAGGAAGATGGAGGAAGAGAGTGAAGGGGAAGTACTAGGGGTTGAAATGGAACAAATTATGTCATATGCACTTATGAATGTATCACAATGAACCCCATTATTATATATAGCAATAATACACTAGTAAAAACACTAGAAACAGATTAAGAATCTAACCCAACCTATTTTACTAACTTACCCAAATCATCTCATTAATGATTGTGGGATTTTTGTGGTCACCATGTTCTACCATATTCCCAGAGCAGGAAAATATTTTGTAAGATTTCAGACTGGAAGCCTCCATTCTTCTCCCCAAAAGAAGTTTCCTGCCATACAGGAGAACAATCTGTGTTCTTTTAAAGTCCTATTTTGATTATTTTAGTGAATTAAAAATAATCTGTTTAACCTCTGTTAATTCTGTAATTCAAAAGTATGTGATTAATACCCAGGATAACATTATTCACTTCTGAACAGACTTTCTAATATCAGGCCTTTAAAATCCTGAATTATTGCCTAGAACTTGCCTCTTTTTAGAATGTCCAATCCCTTTGTCACTGTGTGGAGGAGGACCTGCCCCAAATCATGCATTGTTCCCATACTCTTAGTTCTAAGCTGTTCAAGACAGGGGTCATAAAATCCTCAGTTTTTGTTCACACATAGTTCTAGGCCCTTCAGAAAATGCCCTGAAAAATATTGACAGAATTAATAAAATAAATCTTTCCTGATTTCTCTATTTCCACCATTATAAGCAATACTCAAATGTGCAGAGAAAATTGAGGCAAGAGATTTAGACCCTTTTGTTTAGTGTTTCAGCCCAGTGTTCAGATGCTTATCAACCTCTCCATCATCTCTGAGGAGTTGCATTTTGTCTGTCATTTGTTTCTCACCTGCAAAAACTACAGCAGAATCACCTCACAATTAGTTAGAGATAGCAGATTTCTTCAGCCAAGATTTTTTATTCTCCCTGGTCTCTTCTCTCCAGAAATGCAGACTCTGCGTGTGTCTTTAGCAACTTTGGGAATTGGATCTGTTTCTGCTGCCATCACTGGTTATGTTATTCACCAAATTGAGCTCCTCCCCACTGTATTCAGGTACAAGAGCTAAACGTCTGCTTTCCAAACAGGACTTTCTGAACTAATTTACACTTAATGCAGGAATAAAAATGAGGCTGCTTATGTGTCCAAGACAGGAATTGTAATACAAATTTTAAAAGCAACCAATAATCCATAATTATTTCAAACAGACTTTATGCCTCACAATGTGCCAAGTCTTTTACTGCAGTTTTTCACTTAATCTGAAGAGCCACTCTACAGGACTGGTGCTATGAATATTCTTGTTTTAATTATGGTGAAACTGATTAATTAGAAATCAATAGTGGTCAATATCACAATTAAGAGCTGGTTTTCAAAGCCCATATGTTCAATAACTCTGCTGTTTTGTCTTCCCAAATGAAATGGAGTTGACAAGTGACAACATATATACAGATTTGTACAAGATTTTCTTTGTTTTGTTATTTTCATCCTAAGGTCAATACTGATGGGCATCATTTCAGGATTCCACAGAATAGGGGCAATAGTGGCTCCTCTCCTGATGACCTTCCTGGGGTATTCTCTCCGTCTGCCCTGGATCATCTATGGAGTCATCACCCTCCTTGCTGGCCTTGTTATCTTGCCCCTTCCAGAAACCAGGAATCAGCCTCTTGCTAACACCATCCAGGATGTGGAAAATAAGTAAGTAAATTCCCTGGTCATCACCTGAGTAGGAAGTGACCATGTTCTATATCTCTGTGATGAAGAAGTAAATGACCATTTGCAGCCATCTGTCCTACACATAGACTCAGATCTGAGCTATTTCTGCTTGAACCATGTCTTTAATTCAGTAGCAGCTCTCCTCTACCCACAAAGCTGTATCACTCCTCTTGAGACTAGATCACACAGACCATCTTGCACCAGTCCTTTAATAATGAAAAGGTCAAAATTAGTCCTACTGTGAAGGGCACACACTCTCTGCCCTTAAGGAAAGCACGCTGATTATGTTTTCTCATAAATATGTGAAGACTCAAATACTTAATTCTCATACTTGTGGTATTATCAGGCATTAGTCCAATGAGTGCTCAATATATTATGGGGAGAAAGTGAGCATGCCTCATATACTGATTATTGCTTAAGTCAGAAAGGATTATAGGACTAAAACAGAACAACGTTACTTATAAACATGATAATATATCTAAAGGAAGTAGATCCTATAAGATTTAATCCAATTTAAAGCCATGTATAGTGAAAATTTTAAGGATAGAGAAATTGAAAAAGTGGGATGACAGAATTTGAAATGAGGAAAAATGAAAAAATGTTTTCCTCAGAAATTCTTAATTTCACTTTGACTTTTTTCCTCAAAAATGTCATTAACCAAATGTATAAATTGACAAGGTAAGAGTATCAATACTCAACACTGTCTTCCCAGGCATTCCCAGATATCAAGGCCTTTCCCAGCACAATGGTGTCTAGGAAGTATTGCGATGGAACAATATCAAGTAGAACTTGTTACAAAGCTCATCATCTAGCATGGAGGATATGTGCACTTATTCTACATCTTTGCTTCTTTTTTTATTCTTCTTCCCAGCACAAAATATTCAAGAAAAGTAAAGCAGGAAGATACTTCCACAAAAGTAACACAGTTTTAACAACTTCCCAAGAGTTGATCCAAAGAAGAATAAAATAAGAAGTAAAAAGTCAAGATTCTTCTTTATGCCAATAAAACTAGTCAAAAATATAATGGACAAATGCCACCTAAAATCACTCAATATACAAATTTTCTCAAAATAATTTTTGATTTTTTGTAATCTCATCAAACAATTGTTGGTTTGAAGGAAGGTATTGCAAATAGTTTGAAGTTCATCTTTAAATTATTACTAGAAAAAGAAGCCTTGTTTTCATGATCCAGCAATTACTTTGTATACATCCAAAAGAGATAGAGTTTGTATGCCAAAGAGATACCTGCACTTCCATGTTAATTGTAGCACACCTCATTGTCCTTCAAAGTATGACTATTTTAATAAAGTGTATTATATTACATGAAATGGAACACTACTCAACCATATAAATGAAGAACATTCTGCCATTTGCAATAACACAAATGAACAGGGACGAGATTATGTTAAGGGATATAGGAAGTACAAACAGAGAATGACAAATACCACATAACTCACTCATATATGAAACCTGAAAATGTTGATCTCAAAATACAGTAGGATGGTGATTTCTAGAGACTAGAGCACTTGGGTAGGGGGAGTGAATGGAAGATGTCCAAAAGATGTAAAATTACAATTAGGTAGGAGAAGTAAGTAAAAAAGATCTATTGTGCAACATATTGACTATAGTTAATGACAGCATATTGTATTCTTGAAAAATGCTGAAAGGATGGCAGAGTGCTATTGCCACAAAGAAATGAGGTAACATGGGTTAATAAGCTACATTTAATCATTACACAATGCACATGTACTGCAAAACATCATGTTGTACAAAATAAATACTTATAATTTTGTATGTCACTTTGAATAGATAAAATTTGAAAGCAAGAAAAGGAAAAGGATAACAAAGAGGCTGGCTCAAATATCATGAAACATGTGCTACATTTTATCAAATTACAGGAATCCAAAAAGTAATAGTAAATGTCACCACAAATCATAATAATTCCAAAAAAACATACCGTGTATAAATCAACACTTAATGTATGAAATTTTTGGCACCAAAAAAAACACTTATCAATTGAAATATTCTGTAATAAATAGTATTTATTAGCTATCTGGGAATAAATTTACAAAAATATTTGCAATGACTCTATTTGTGATAATATTTTATTGTTTTTCCCCTGGATTCTTTCTGGCTTCACAATTTAAACCACTAATATGAATCACTTTATAATATTATAAATATTATCAGACACTAAATCACTATTGATATGATTGATGAATTCAACATATACATATGTATATGTGTTTAACATATAATTAGGAATAAAACTATACTTCAATGCAAAAGTGGGCAAAAGCAAGAGCAAATAATTCTCAGAGGGAAAAAGCCACATAAAAATAAGTATAAGAAAATATTTCTAAATTTGTGATCAAATAAATATGCACTAAAATGAAATACCAACTTTCACTTGCCAAAATAACAAAAATTATTAATCCTATTATTTATTCTGCTACAGTAAATAAAAATTCATATAACACATTATCTCAATACAAATTGCAAAGCCATAGTGATCAAAAGAATATGGTACTGGTATAAAAACAGACACACACAGCATTGAAACAGAACAGAAAATCCAAAAATTAATTTCCAAATTTATAGACATCTGATGTTTTACAAGGGCACCAAGAACATACCTTGAAGAAACGATCATCACTTTAACAAATCATGCTGGAAAAACTGGATATACACATATAGAAGAATGAAACTACACCCTACTTCTCATTACACACAAAAATCAACTCAAAGTGGATCAAGGATCTAAATGTAAGTGCTGAAACTGTGAAACTACTAAAAGAAGTCTTAAGGAAAACCCTTGAAAACATTGAAACTGAAAAAAAACCCAATTTTTGGATAGATCCTCCCAATGCATCAACAGTGAAAGCAAAACTAGACAAGATAATATCAAACCAAGAAGTTTCTGCACAGGAAAGGAATCAGTCAACAGAGTCAAGGCAACCTACAGAATGGGAGAAAATATTTATAAACTATTCATCAAAAAAGTGGTGATTGAAAGGTGAGTGACTCACCTGAGACGGAGAGTCAACCAAGAGATTTATTGGGGGGTCTGTCTGAAGGGGAAGAAAAAGGAGAGGCAGAGAGCAGAGAAAGGAGTGGAGGAAGGCAGAGAGTAAGAGAGCAGAGTCAGAGAAAGAGAGTAAAGAGAGGACAGAAAGAAGAGAAAGAGGCCAGGGAGTGTGAGCTTGCAAGCCTTGGCTTAAGAGGGGTTGCATAGGTGACATGGTGGGTGCTGATTGGCAAGGTGACCCCGGAACTGCTAGCAGACACTGTGTCTCATGGGGATTGGATGAGAAAATGTTTCAATTTGACTGCTCTTTGGCTTTGCACCCTTCAGAGAAGAGGGGAGGGGTAAGGGATTACACAAGTCTGAAACTTAACTTTGGTGGGGAGTCTCCCACACACCCAACAGTGATGATTGGGTGATAACCACTCAATAACAACAAAAAAACTGATTTCAAAATAGGCAAATGGTCTGAATAGATGTTTTTCAAATGGCGAACACTAGTCATTAAGGAACTGCAAATCAAAACTACAATAAGATATCATCTCATCCCAGTTAAAAGTGGATATTATCAAAAAGACAAAAATTACAAATGCTAGCCAAAATCCAGAGAAAGGTTAAATTTCATACACTGTTGATGGGAATATTAAATGGTATAGCCATTGTGAAAAATGGCATGGTGAGTGCTCAAAAAACTAAAAGTAAAATTATCCCATGATCCAGTAATCTCACCACTAGGAATATATATCCAAAGCTAAGGATATCATTCTATCAATGAGATATCTGCATGCTTATGTTTACTACAACACTATTCACAATAGACAAGTTATGGACTTAGCAAGATGTCAAAGATAATCATTTGAATGGAATTTTAAATGAGGGGATCTGGGGGAGTGTGGTGGTCTATGAGGCTCACTGCTAACCATGTAGCAGTGATGTCCCTGAGTCAGATGGATGCCACAGATGGGTTCTAGCCAGAAGCAAGGTGGCCTAGGCTTTTGCTTCCTTAGAAACAGGTGGCACCCAGCACTGAAGCAGAAAACCAGAGGTGTCTCTCCCCAACCTCAGCCTGGGCCAAAGGAAGACAGGCAACTAGGGTGGCTGGAGAGGAGTCCACTGCCCAAGAATGGGAATTCTATTCACTCCGACATGGAAATAATTTAATTGCCAGGAGCACAGTTATCATTGTTGAGTTGGCTATTGCAGGGAAAACCAACATTCTTTACAAATTTTCTGTGAGTTAAGTTGTAAATAGTACCATAAAAGGTAATGTAGAAGAGAGGATGGTGAAAAATACACATTACCAATGTTGGATATTGATGACCAGATGATCAATTCATTTTCCCTGGAGAACTTATTACGCTAACATAGAGTTTGTAATAGCTGTTGTGGACATAAAGAGGACTTCTATAACTAGAGAAGAACTCCATAAAAATGTTCAGTGCATCAGAACCTAAAAATAACTAGGATTATTAATTTTGTTAACAATCAAGATGGTAAAGAATTCATGGCTTTAGCAGAAATCTCTCACTTTTTGAAATAAGTGAGGTTAAATTTTCTTGCTTTTGAAAAGTTTTAGATCAGTTTATGATAAATATATCTAAACCATTAACTTTTGCAGCCCTTTGGTAAAGCCCACTCTTTTATTGATAAAGAGTCTATGAAAAGAACTGGGTATATAACTTAGCTGGTAGAGTGCTTACCTTGCATGCACAAGGATCTGGACTCAATACCCAGCACCACACAAAAAAGTTTTTGGAAATAGGACACTAGAGAACTTATCATCTTTGTATGTGATATCATCCATTCAAGAATCATCATGTCAATGGGGACTCTTATTAGAAGTTGATAAATATATATAGATGAAAGGCTTAGATGCATTTATCTAGGCTGAGGATATAGCTCAGTTGGTAGAGTTCTTTCCCCACATGCACAAGGCCTTGGGTTCAATCCCCACCAATAAACAAAATTAAATATATTTATCTAATGGTTCAGATGTATTTATCATAAACTGATCTGAATTTTTTGGTGGATATATTTATTATAAGTTGATTTAAATTTTTTGATAGGAAGAAAAATCAACATCACTTATATGAAAACAAAGATAAAGTCTTACTTTCCAATTTATTTTCTCTTATTTTCTTTCAAAGTAAGATAGTAAAGCTGTGATTGACAGTTTCCCCATAATGAATTTATTCAGGATATGGTGTAGCCTGCAGCAAATAAAAATTGAAAGGAATATATTTTTTACATTAAGAGTTTTCTTATCAGTATAACCCTCTGTAGTTGAAGATTGATCTCTTCTTGTTCCATTCAGTCAAAATAAAACTTAGGACATATATTGTTTCCAGTACTTGAAAATGTAGAAACTATTTATATATAAAGTACTTCACATATTATTGTGTATGTATTATGTATACACCTCAAATTCAAGTTAATGGCTTTGATTTATGTTCTAAAGAAAAGCAGATAAAAAATAATAACTTCCTTAGTTATAACCCTAAAAAGATAGGTACTGGCATTGGTGGGAAGTTCCATTTTGTTTTTTTCCTCAGGTTTTCCATAATATACCAATCAAAACCCCAAATCGCGTAATGACTCTTAATAAAGAAGGAAATAAAAAGGAAAAAAACTTGAGAAAAAGATGTATATATACAGAATGGAATATTATTCAGCTATAAAAAGAATGAACTCTGGTCATTTGCAGCAAGTAGAGAAAATGATGTTATGTGAAATAAGTCAGGCAATTACTGGAATAAGAAAGACAACTTGTGAATGTTTTCACTCATTTGTGGAAACCAAAAACCAAAAATAGTTAATCACATAGCAGTAGAGAGTATAGAAGTCACTAAAGTTTAGGAAGGAGGAAGTTGTTCATCTTTCTGTCACTGTGAAAACATATCTGACAAAATAAATGTAAGCGGGTAAAATATCTATTTTGGCTCACAATTTTACCATGGTTGCTTGTTCCTGTTGCTTTGTCAGCAAGGCAGTTCACCGTGGCAGGGAGTGCTTGGTAGAGCAAAGCTGCTCATCTCTTGGTGACTGG